TGGAGCAATTCGCTACCCCAAATCGCTGTTAATCATACAATGACTTTGGCGTTTTGATCGGTTAAAATGTCAAAGTTGGCGGATCCGTTAAAATTTTGGCGGATCCGTCAATAACCAAACAAGCCCTATCTGTTTTGGAGGAATACTTCTGTATTGAATCCAAATCTGACTCACTGCATATCACAATTATACCCCCCGCCCCCTACACCTAGTACGTGTTTTCAAAACAAACATTTCTCTATCTACCTTATTATTTTAGCGCGCACTCTATTTTCATATGTCACCACCATAGCGTACCTCCAAAACATACATTTTCCTATCTGCATTTATTATTTTAGCGTGCAGTCTATTTTAATATGTCACCACCATAGCGTACCTCTAAGGCCTCTCAAAGGAACTAGGTATATATGTTGGTCATAAACCTCCGTCTGTTACCTAAATACCTAGAGCCCATAATAGGGGATCAATAAGTACTAAGCTAAGGTACACTGACTGCATGCTTTATGAAGATCGGTTCACGGCATTAGGGGGAGATATGAACCAGATAATTTAATGAAATGCCGAGAAGTTCCACGGAATGGAAAGATCTTCATTAGTTAAGAAATCCACGTACTAGTTAAATTGAACTGGAAGTTCAGAAGATAATCTATTTGCGACATTAGCAAATAATTTGTCAAATATATAAAAGAGTGACTAGGTCCCATGTACCTCTTTCCCAACTTGGACCAAATATATCTATCGATACTCCTTGACGCCAGAAGTGTAAGAGATCTATTGGTGTAAGAGACAAGAATCATAATACTAGATCTAGTAAAGATACATTGTCACTCTTGAAATGCCTTGAATAATTATGTCATGCAGACGTTCGTCCAGATGACGAAAAACCCTAGTAAATTTATATGTGCACCAAACAAACATAATACTAGGGATGCGGAACAACCAGATCTATATATCTTTGGCAAATGATAACAACCTGGTTGATTTAGAAATTGACATGAATTTTAAAAATTTAGGAAAAATTATGATAAAAATATTATAGTTGTCGACAACACAGTCGTCTTTACAAATTGCTCGTTATATGATAATCTGGATCCAGAGTTAGGCACCGGAAGTGTCATGACTATTTAATGTATAAATGAACAATTTAGGCATAACTTGACTCACTAAAACAAATATATTCTCTTTATAACAATACATCGTTGAGTGTTAACCCTGAAGGTTACAAATGGGTGTATACACGAAAGAAAAAATAAGAATAACGAGGTGATATGATATGAAGCGAGTTTGTAACCTATGGGTTCACACAGAAACCCTTGATTGATTCTAATCAAATATACGCTTCTACGGTAAATGGCATTAAGTTCCGCTACATAATATCATTGGCAGAATAATAAATTTAGATATGCAGTTAATATTTATTTTGAGAAATCCCTTATGGATTCATGATTCTTGAAATGAGAAAATAAAAATCGCAACATGTATATTTTACAAAGGTCTTTATATGACCTGAAAAGTTAATAATTAACTTAGTGTTTTTCCTCCTGAAGAAGGAATATATATGTAGATAATATATGTCATTATGTGCTCATTAAGGAGTTGCTAATGGAGTTATTTATCTATTATCTTAGTCTATGTATAAATACAATTGAAATGCAAAAGAGCTTGATAATATTAGCTCATACCTAAAGACGGAGTTTGAAATGAAAGACTTGGTTAACCCAAGTATTGTCTCGACCTGAAGATCGAGCTTCTCCTTGAATGAGTTTTTATACACCAGTTAGCCTACACGAAAAATGTCTTGAAGAAGTTTTATATTGATAAGTATCATTTCCTTATCACACTAACGGTTGTCCAATCTCTAGAAATAGATAAGGAACCGTTTAGACTCGAAGAGGATTATGAAGATACATTATGACCAAATTTCCATTATTTCATTGGAGCCTTACTTTAGGACTAGAAGTTCTATAATCGCGCATCAGGCCTGATATTTGCAATGAAATTGCTAGCAACATTTAGTGCTCTTTATGCAATGAGATATTGGAATAGTGCTTAACATATATTCTCCAATATCTTCGAGATACAATGATTTTAACATTTATGTGGAAAACTAATAATATGGTATTTGATAGGCTACATGGGTAGTAACTATTTTGTTTGATCCCCATGATGCTAAGTCCCAAACTGGTTATATTATTTTTTTACCCTCAAAGCTCTATATGTAGGATTTTGTTTTTATATAAAGTATAGATTACAGAATTTTTTCAAAATAATTGCAGACAAATGAGTCATATATTATTCAATTAATTGAGTGATACTTTTTCACTAATCTTATAATCAAATAAATGTACACTTTCAAATATTAAAATTTTTTTATAATTTCATCTTTAATTTTATTATCTAAATATATATAATACAAAATTTTATCTGTGCATTGTACGTGTAATCTACTAGTTAAAGAAAAAAGCTTAAGTGGTTTAATCATTTAGTTGTTCCCCAATCGTTATATCGTGCACCGTGGTGCATAATCGATTATGCACCTCGCGTCAAAACGACGTCGTTTCTGTAATTATAACGGAGTGACACTACAGTGTGTCTAAACCGACACTGTCTCACGTATTATTTTTATATTACCAAATGAAACTGCAGTTATATCAAAATGATACTGTAGTCGTGGTGAAATGAAACTACAGTATATATAAAATGAAACTGAATAACATTTCACATATTTGAGTGTATATTGTACAATAAAGCTGTAATTATATTGAAATGATCATGTAGTTGTGTTTTAATGAAACTATAGTGTATATCAAATAAAATTAAATAACATTTTCACATATTTGAGTGTATAAATATTGAATGAAACTGTAGTTATATCGAAATGAAACTGTAGTTGTGTTGAACTGAAACTGCAGTATATACAAAATGAATATGCAATTAAAGCAACACTTTCATGAACTTAAACCCAACAAATATTATCAAACGAACACTAGAAACATGTACAATTAAGCTCACATCATTTTTTAATGCGGGGGAATATATGGGGGGCTTGACCCCAAGCATCAATGTAGGCTCTCTCTAGTGGCATTGTGAGGTCCGACCTCGCCTAGCCCTATGCGAAGTATGTAATCAATCATTGGTTGAATTGAATGACTAGAAGTTGTTGTTCAACTACCAAACACTATGCCTATATGAAAGTCTATATTGATGGGATGTAGAACATATAGTACGTATATGGCACATAAAGTTTACAATACTCATACTGGTTAGAATATATAATCTCAATATACCATCTAAAATTCTGAATCAAGTATATATGAGACAAAATGGCTATCGATATTTTGCAAGTTTTCCATCCCAACTATCCCTCTAAGGTATTCAAATGATCCTAAAGTTTCAGCTGCTACAACATGTTACTCGTGATTTAAGTTTCTTTCCATTTATGTTAGTACAGCATATTACTCGTGATTTAAGTTTCTTTCCATTTATGTTAGTATATATTAATATGTAACAATAGATACTAATGTTTGACTATTTCAAAGGCAAGAGATCTAAGGTGGTGAAGAAATCAGGCACGCATTTCAATAATTATTGAACATGCGTAGGGACGGGGAAGGGTACTATTACTACTATATATGTCCGCAAGGACATACCTTTAATGGTAAAAAATATGTCGGCAAGAACTTATTACTGAGCAGCGTAAGAGATTTTACAGAGAAAAGGTTTACATAGCTCATATGTCTAGACAAAAACTCTCTCTTCTTTAACCATTGGAAATACACAGAGATAGCAAGCTAAGCAACATTATTTGTCATGGCACATAAAATTAAATACAAATGGTCTAGTTTAGAGATAAAAACATACATAAATTAACCACAGAAAATGATCTGATGAACTTGAATCATTCATTTAGTTTTAACCAGGGGCATGCAGGCCGGGGCAGAAATGCTGTCAAATTAAACCAATTTCATTGAATTTATCCTGTGTTATTTGGTCCAGAATCTCCCTCATCTCCTCCGAAAGATGGTTCTTGGAATCCCCAATCTCGCCTTTCCTGAAATACGCGTGGTTTATAAACCTAGCCATCCTCCCCGTCTCAAGGTTTCGAATGAATGACCCATTTTTGTTCACTTCCAAATTGCTCAGTTTCTCAAAGCTGCAAAAATCTATGATTTTCTGCACCGCCCCTTCCTTCTCTTCCTCCTCAGAGAAAGGCCAGCCCACGAACTCCGCTAGCCTCTTCACGTGAAACACGGCTTCTGTCTTCAAGTCCTCGTACCTCACGAAGAACACTTTGTTGGGGAATTGGATACTAGCTTTGTAGTAGCCGGCGAAGTGATCCCAGTAGGGCCCGAAAGGCGAGGCGCCGCGGGAGAATTGGTCGAAAGCCTCTTGGAGAGAAAAGGAAGACGACGACGACTCTTTTGGCCTCAGCTTGTTATGGTAGTGCCGGAAAGAAACAAAAACGTCCTTGGGATCTCGAAACACGTACACGATCCGACACGAAGAAGAAGAGCTGCGGATCTGTTCAGGCAATGATGGGTAGGCGAGGTGGGTACTGAACAAGAAAGAATCCGGTGGCCTGGGGTTTGTGGGATTGGTGGAGGCGTAAGTCTCTAACCAGGGGACCAATTCATGAGGGTTTGAGGTGAGCAAAGGGTGCATAATTCCATTGTACTTTGCCCGGTTCACAATGCTGAAGAGAAGAGCCTTGAGCCAAGTGGTTCCAGCTTTGGGGTAGCTGGCTAAGAGAACATCATTGGGGTGTGGTTTGAAGTGGTGTTGGAGTGCTAGGAGGCCATGGATGACCCATTTTGGGTACCAAAACCCATTCAGCAAATGAATGTCTCCATCAACTACCCATCCCCTTTCTCTTGGCAACTCAGGAATAAGTGTTTCTGAAATTGTTTTGGCTTCATCACTAGAGGATTGGTTTGGGGATGCCATGCGTGGACGGTGGATGGATGGTAAAGAGATAAGGAGTTGAGAATCCTAAGTAATAAAGCATATATATAATGATGCTTCATGCTTGATGCTTGGTTTCAAATTAAAGACTGCATAGGCATGATCATGGTTCGGTTCGAATTGAACCGTTTATTATTGGAACTGGATTGGAATTGAAATCGTATGGTCAGTTCTGGTTCCGATTTTGGTTCCAAAGCCTGTATAAAGAGTTAGGTTAAATCATTCTCCTCAACTGAAATCGGGCATAACCATGGGGATAGTACATAACTCCTGTTGTTTAAGGGTAAAAGGTTAAAAAAAAAACTAGGGTGGCGCTTTTTGTTTTTTGTTTTTTTTTTTTTTTGTTTCAATTTCGATATCTGTATTTTGGTATTCAAAACAATTGATACCATTCGGTTTAGCACTATAATTCAGTTTGATTTGAAAATGTCCAGTTTCAGTTCGGAATTAGTTCGGTTCGATTTAAGAACTCTAATTTTCAACATTTCCTATTTTTCGAAACACACTATCAAACAATACATATTCACATAGTCCAAATCCAAAATCTAAACATTATATAACAAAATAGCAATTCAAAGTTCAAACACACTACTAAGTACTAATTACCAAACATCAGTTGTTGTTTTTTTTTTTTTTTTTGCCCGTTGGCTCACTTAGAATGTTTTGCTGACAAGATGAAGATTTATCCATCTGTTTAGTTAATATTCGGTTGTTATAAGCATTGTGTGGACCATGGTCTTAAAATGGTGTCGTTTACAACCGTTAAATTTTAACAAATTTCATATTTTTGCTGTGTTCAGAATAAAATGAAACTACAGTATATCTATAATGAAACTGAATAATGTGTCTCACATATTGTGTTTATATTATCAAATGAAACTGTAATTGAATTGAAATGACACTTTAGTTGTATTGAAATGAAGCTGCAGTATGTATAAAATGAAACTAAATAACATGTCTCACATATTGAGCGTATATTGTCAAATAAAACTGAATAACACGTCTCACATATTGAATGTATATTGTCAAATAAAACTGAATAGCATGTCTCACATATTGAGTGTTTAGTAACATAGTTAATTTATTACCCAATTTTGGCATCAGGACCGTCACAAGCTTTGAATACAAATGTGATTAATGCTAATGAGACTTTTACTGAACTAAAGAATTGCTGAAATGTTGCCAGCCTGATTCGTGAATAGCATAGGGTATTGGTGATGCACCAGATTTTTTTAGCATCAAACACGATAATTACAAGTTCATTGAGATACGAGCTACCAACACAGCATATCAAAGGCACATTGTCAGGTTTTCATTTATTTTTTTTAAAGATTTTGAATATATGCTATTTGTTGAACTTGCATTTGATACAATATTGTCAAACTGGTGGTTATTTGATGTGTCATGAATATTAAGATGTATCTCATACCTTATACATAAAGCTATAAACTGATTTTTAAATATAATTTTGGTCGGAAGGCGAATCCTTAGCACTAATTATATGATAAAAGAACTAGGACAAATTATATGACTCCAATGCGAAATTGACTTGATACGATTCAAAAGTCAATTATTATTTTTCCAAATCCAAGTCCTTTGGTTCTTGATTGGTTATAACAATTATATTATTATTGGTCATGAGTCTAGAACATTAAAGATCTCAATACTTAGTATTGAAACAAAATGATAGTGCCCAATTTTCAGATATAGTTTATGTCTATAAGGTAAACTAAGAGCACTAATCTTTCCTATGTCACCCTGGACTTTAGAACAAAATTCGATAGTGAACATTTGATCGAAAATGATTCACAGATCCTATATTAATCCCTGAAGGATTAATACGATCAACAAAGGTGTTAAACCCGCCTCCATATATATGAGAGGGATATTAAATACCTAGTTTTAGCGGGAATACACCCTATAAATTGTTGACTGGAATACCTTGAATAGGGGTTAACTTTGGGTACTAATGACTCATGCCCATGAATGAAGTTTGCAAATTTCTAGTTACGATATGATTAGAAGTGAGCCATACCATGTTAGTTGGCCTGAAGCAAATAAGTTGTGAATACTTGATGTTGATGACCCTTTATAAGTTGAGTAAATAGATTTTAGAGATTCTAAATGGTCTCACCATCTATATATCTATTGGGCAAATATAATGAGTCAGTGGTTAGCAGATTGTGGGCATGTTTGGTTAGCAGCGAATCCGCCATTTTTTTGGCGAATTTGACTAAAATCAGCATTTTGACCAGGTCAAAACGCTGATTCAAGTGTTTGGTTATCAACGGTTTGGAGCAGCAGTTTAGCTCCAAACCGCTGAAACCCCAAACGCTGCAATTAGCAGCGTTTGGGATTGGCGTAACACCCTCCATTCATTTATTAATAATAAAAAAAAAAATTAATACTGTGCGTTAGAAGCCCGAGGCTTCATTAAATTAAAGAAGCCTCAGGCTTCTCTATTCTTGCCCATCCCACGGGATGGGCAAGAGTAAAAAACAAGGGGCGTTGAGCTCCCTTATCAGCGCCCCTTTTCTT